CAATTAAATCACTTGAGTTGTATGAGAGATATTTGAATTAACTTTCCTTGCAAACTTTTGAGACACCCTATACATTCACAATTGTGATATTTGTTATCAACACTTCATTGAATTCTAGTTTCGTCAATCAACAAATGGTTCATTTGTTTTTTTTGGGTGGAATTTTAAATGAATCTCTTGTTTTTTGTTGCTGTTTATAGAAGAAATAAAAAACTTCGCTTTCAACAGGAATATAACCTCAAAACTATAATAATGATGAAAATGTATAAGATCAGAGCATCTAACCATAGTTTTTCTTAACTTTTCTTTCCATATAAAAGTAAGAAATACACATAGTTTCCCTCTGGTGTAATTGTTGATTGATCTATTCGACTTCAGGTTATACAATACTAATAAAATTTTTTAGTTCCGATACGATTCCATTTATTTTTTGTCGGAACCGCTAGGCGGCTCATACTTTTGTTACTTTTAACTCAGAAATGATTCTTCTTTTTGAACATATGTTTTGTTTTCAATAGATGTCGCTTCTGATTATTTTGTCCGACTTGATTAAAAAACTATAATGTTTTACTGTATAACTACAGAAATAGTATATACATATATTTCTTTATCATATTAAAAATATAGTAATAATTTTTTTTTCGTTTTTTAGACATTTTGTTATTGGATAAAGATTTTGAACCAATCACATGCAATAGTAAAATAAATGAATGATTGATATTTGTGCTTATTCAATAGGACCACATTCGAATAATATATGTTTCAGTTGATGTAATATTTCGTTTTTTTGTTTTTCTTTTTTTGGGACAAATAGAATAAATTTTTATTTTTTTTGAATTTTATTAAATATAAACGCGCTAAAAATTATTTCAACGAATAAACTCATAAATGAATTTTTATTTTTTCTTCATAGATGACATGAATTATGAAAAGAAATTCCGTATTTTACCTAATTCGATAGGTTTTCATTATTTTTTCATTATTATTCTCATTTCTTGCATATTGGTAGTTAATGGAAAAAATGATCTAACGAAAAATGTTATTGATATTACTGGTGATGAAAAACCTGTATTTGATATAAATTTTGGAAAACATAAAAAATATTCTATTGATGATTGTATACCATTAGCATTTGGTGATTTCAATGCTGATAAAGTTATTGATATATTTTGTCGAAATACAAAAGGTATAAATTAGAATGAACAAAAAAAGAAAAAACAAAAACTTTTTTATTATTATAAATTAGGTGATAGAATACGAATAATGTTAAATGATGATCGATCACCAACATCAAAAGAACAATTCAATATAAATATAACTGGTATTATTTATGATGCATTAGCAGCCGATTTTAATGGTGATAGTAAACTTGATTTATTTGTACTTTATAAAGAGAAATTTGATCAAATTGGATATAATGGTGGGATATTTTGGGGTGATAGAATTAAATTAAGTAAGTTGAAAGAGAGATTGAAATAAATATTTTATAATAATAAGTTTTATTAATTTTCTTTTTAGATGTTTTACAACCACTTGATTATCTATTTGAAAGTATTCCAACAACTCTTGAGTAAATTTTTGTTTTGGTTTTAAAGATTTGAATAATTTTTCTTTTTTGTTAAATTTTAGTGCAAATGGTGATTCATATGTTGAATTATTAGGAATGATTAGTACTGATAAAAAAAATTTTAAACCAGCTTGTGTTTATCTGTAAGAAAATTGCTTTTTCTTTTTTTGATCAAATTAATTTTTATTTTTTTATTTTTAAGTAAAAATAATACTAGATCAACTGTTGAAATTTTACCTAATATTGATAATTTTCGTCCGAGTTCAACACAAGCTTCAGTTGATCTTAATCATGATCTTGTTGCTGGTAAATATATTAATTATTGTTTACTGAATTAGTCTGAAGTTCTTTTTACAGATTATTCCAATGTTTTATCCAGAGGAGTGCCCGGAGGAGCGGCGCTCCCCCTCGAAAATCGAGTTCGCCCTCCCGAGACTTGTGATAATTGTGCTACGAATATATGGCTTCCCCCCCCCCCCCCCGAAAATAATTTTTCGCCCCTCCGGAGAAAAAATCCTGGATTATTCAACTAATGAGGGAACCTCTGCACGTGTTACGGCTCATATTTTGTCTATAAGTAAGACTCTGATAAGGTTAGTTGAAGTTCGGAAAGATTCGTTCCGATACGCTGTCCTTCGGGAGTTACAACCGTTTTACTGGTTTTCTTTTTTTTTGAACCTCTGACAATAATATTTTATAGAGAAGTCCAACAATGAAATTTTTTGTACATAAACAGATCTCGTGGTCACTAAAAGTTTCAGCTAAAATGAACGTTTCTTTTTTCGAGATATTGAGTTTTCAAGAAACTCGATTTTTTTGACCTTTGGCTTTGAAATATGATCGTTCCTTGAAAATTTAATATCTTGAGAAAGAAACGTTCATTCTAGTGACCATGAGACCTGTTTATGTATAAAAAAATCTCATTGTTAGAGGTCAAAAAAAAAACCCCGTAAAACAGTCCTAACTCCGGTAGGACAGCGTATGAGGACGAATAGTTTCCGGACTTCTACTAACCTCATCAAGTCTTACTTATATGCAAAATATGAACTTGATCGGCGATTAACACTTGAAGAGGTTCCATCGTAAACCTAATTCAAAGCGCTGCGCAAATGCTTCAAGACAAAGAGATGAATAAATAATACAAAAAGAAAAATCTAAGTAGTAAAAGTTACTATAACATTGAAGGAATGAAGAAAATGACATGAATAGTGAACGTAACTATAGGCAAAGTAAAGTTTGTAAATAGATTGAATTTATGCACGAGCTTTATACTTTGAATCAAAGTATTTAGATGAATTTTAATTATGCATTTATATTTTATTAGATTTATTTTTAACAATTGAAACTGATAAAAAAATAAAATATCGTATATATGAATTACCAATAACAAAATTAACATTAATTAAAGAATATGATCCACCACCAGGTGTTGCTATTTATCATTTATCAGCATTTGCTGATATAGGTATTTTGAGAAAAATTAATATATTAATTTTCTTATTAAATATAATATAGATGCCGATGGTGAATTAGAACATATTCTTCCTGTTTGTATGGATACTAGTTGTTCACAAAGTCGAATTTATGTTCGAGATGATGATGCAGTAAGTTAAATATCTAAAGTAGATTGAACTCTCACTTTATTGGATGAAAAATAAAGCTTTTTCATTGTAAAATAAAATTTTTAATGAATTTAAATAAGATCCTAGGTGGATTTATTACATAACAAAAAAAATTTAATCAATAGATTTTAAAATATTTCATAAATTTGTTATTATATCTTCTGAAGGTTTTTTTCTTTTGATTAGTTCAACTCAAGGTTTAAAATAGAGATTTTTGTTACTAGTAGAAATTTGATGCCGTCGTGGTGACGGCAATGTGACCTCTCGTTTGTATTGAGATGTAGCAGGTAAGAGAAAAATATCGCTTGAAATGCTATAAAATATGAAACTTTTATTTAATTGGCTCATCATCTATAGAAAGTAATTTCATTGATTTTAGCTGACATTTGCAAACCGGTTCTTCTACTGCATACTGTTGATAGATGACGCCATGATGAAATATGAGAAAGGTAACACCACCTATTGACACGTCAACAGTATCCAGTAGAACACACGTTATTTGATAAAAAAAAAAAGAAAAATCTTTTTTTTTTTCAACAAAACTATATAATATTTGTTGTTATTATATTGAAAAGCTTGTAATTCTAAATTTAAAAAAAGAAAATTTATATTTTTTTAGTGGCATCAATTACCAATTCAATTTGGTAATGGAATACGATTTCCTTTACAAAATGAATTTTCAGCACCATTTAATCAAATACCAATTAGTATTAAAATAGCTGATTATAATCTTGATGGTTATCCAGATATGGTTACAGTGATGAATGAAAGGTTGATAAATTTCTTTTTTTTTCTAATTTAATCTTTATGTTATTTATGTTTTGTTTTTGTTAAACAGTGTATCCGGTACAATAACTTCAATTGTTCTTTTAAATCAACCATGTGAAGGAGGTTCAAATTCACCATGTACTTATAATCGAACATTTATACCACAAACACATGAAAAATTTGTCTTAGCAGCAACAAATACTACAGTTGCTGCTTTTTTTGATATATTAGAAAATGTATGTAAAATAAATAAATAAAAAATTTAATTGTTATATATATATGATTAAATTTTGTAGGGTTATCCAGATTTACTTGTTGTACAAAAAGATGAAAATCAAACATTTAAATTAACTGCTTTTCAAAATTCTATTGTACAAGATGTACATTTTATTAAAGTTATGGGTAAATTAAATAATATAAATTCATATGAGAAAATTAGTTTTCTTTTTCTTCTAGTTCTTAGTAGTTTTATATGTGCAACATGTTCTAGTCAAAAGAGATTAGTAAGTTTAAATTAATAAAATTAATTACAAAAAAAAACAAAAGAAAAGTTTCATTTATTTAGCCATATGGTAATAATCAACCAGGTCAATCAATTACAATGGAAACAATTACAATTATGAATGGAATTAAAGATTATATAATTAAATTAGCAGGTAAAAACAATATACGAATCATTTAATTACTCGGACTTAGAGTAAAAATCTGTCGAATTATTTCCGAAGTGTTCGATTCGAATTGAAATCTATAATTCATTTTATTATTCTAGCTGTTCAAATGTCTCAAGCTGGTCAATTAACACTTGAATTACCATATGTTATCATTGGTCTTGGTTCTACACCAAATTTTGTTGAAAAAATAACTGTTGGAGTTCCACCAAATCAAGAATCGGTATTATTTTGATAAAAAACAAAAAAAAAACGTTTTTTTTTTGTTTTATTGTTAGAATAAATTATATCGAACATATACACAAATGATTCCAAATTCACAAATTGTTGTTATTCCAATACCATTAATGAATCCAGAAAAGTAAGAAGAAGAAGAAGAAAAAAAAATTTTAATTAATAACAAAAAAAAATTTAGATGGCATAGTAAACTATTTCTAACACCAAGTCGAATGATTCTTCATACAGGAATAGCATTAGGTGTAACATTAGTTGTACTTGCTGGTGTACTTGCTATATTACAATATCATGAAAAGGTATTTTGTTTTTGACAATAAAAAAATTTATTTATTGTTATTTTTGTTGTCTAGGTCGAAGATGATCGTGAACGTAAAGTTCAAGCTCAAGCATTCCATTATGATGCTTTATGATCTGTTTATATATATATATTTTGTTCTCGAATATTCGAACAGTACTACTTATCAATAGAAGTGGTTATATAGATTTCTCATTTTGTTGTTTTTCTTTTTTTTCCTGTTTATTATATTTTTTAAGTTAAATATCGAATATCGGGAAATTATGAACTATTATTATTAATATATATTTATTTCAATTTTTTGAGAAACAAACGAAAAAAAACAAAAATATTAAATATATGTTTTCTTTTTGTTTTATTCAAGATTATTTAATTTTATATTCGTATTTATTGAAGAAAATTTGTAAGTTTTTTTTTTTTGTTTTATATAAAACTTAAAGAATAGAATATGACACATTAGACAAATCATTAACAATCGATAGCGAATGTTGATTATATTGTATGATTGTAATTCGTTAACATATATATATATAGAACTCAAGGATTTTCACTATGTCTATTCAAAACTACAGCTAATATTAAGTATAGAAAGATATAGGTCATTAGGCATAAATACTTCATACTGCAACATACGGATATTTTTTTTCTTCTTAAAGAATAGAATAACATGCAATGAATAATTTAATTTAAACATGTTCTTTTTTTTCTAATTATATCTTGTAAGAGATTTTCAAGCTTTAAATAATGACTTGATGTTATCATTTTTTAGTATCTATTTTTAGTTTTGTTCTTTTTATGACCTTCTAAAGTTATAACAAATTGATATAGAATCTGTTAAATAGTTATCAAAGATAATTGATTAATATATAAGAATTTTCAAAAAAAATAATATTCTTTGATTAATTTTTACTACATTATTGTTTTCATTTTTTGTCAACGAAGCGTAGAAAAAAAATAAAAAAACAATATTTTCAATTTGCCTTCGATATAACCTTCAATTTGTACGTATGAATAATAAACATAAAGATCAAATTATTAATTTGAAATAAAATTTAATCGATACTACCGTACAAGATAAGGTTAATTTAATGATACTATATATACATTCATTAATCTTCGTACTATATTATTCATGAAACTTAATTACGTTTATATATAGTGTCACTCAAAAAATATAGAGAATAATTCATTTAGGTTTTTTCTTTTTTTTTGTTCGTTCTTCACATTGAGAAATATGTAGAGAAAAAAAAAGCCGATGTTTTGATAAGAACAAGAAGTCATACGCAAAATAAATGTCGTCAAAAGACAAAGAAAAAAAAAAGAATGACCTTTATCATCAATCAGAAGTTTTTTTTTTTTCTCTCTATTTCATAAAAGTCAATCTATATATTTAGAATCAAAATTCTAAATAGAATAACTTATTGAGATATATATATGTTCACTGTTTTCTTAAGAAATTTTTTTTTTTGTTTTTGTATTAAACTTATTTTTATTGATAAATAATAATAAAAAATAAATAGATTTTGCTTTTAGATAATTCTATTTCGAATAGAAAACAAAAACAAAAGTGAAAATATGGATAATAATCAACAATCAACAAAAATGCCAAAACCATTTGATAGTGATCAGGAATTAAGTGCATCAGCTACAGGTGGTAATCAACAACAACAACAATTTGTATTACTTGAAGATGATCGTCTTAAACAAGAAGAAGATTATCGTCAAGGTAAATATTGTTGTTTTAATTATTTTTGAATTCAAATGAAAATATTGTTGTGCAATAATTCTTTTGATTATTATTGAAATATGATCTAAAAGGAGTTCTTCTATAGATTTTACATTCAGAGGCGACGCGAAGAGGTCAGAACAAGGAGGGAGGGGGTACTTAAACATCGGAGAAAGTAGCCTAAAATTTGTCCGATTATATTTTTCCAAAAATGAGAAAAAACTCTCTAAATTAGAAGAAAATCTAAGCCAAAATTTTCAAAGCAGTGGGGTACCCGCTCCTGTTTGCATCTCATACGACTATTAATAATCAAAAGTATTTATTCGATTCAATGACATATTTCATTTTTTTTTCTTTCACGCGAAACAATGTAACTAATCGATTTGAGTTTTTTGAAATTAATCAAATGAGAATTTTATTCATAAAATTTATGATTTATTTCTCATGTTATATTTTTCAAACATAATCTAATTTCGAGATTTGTATTAATTGCATGAACTATTTCCCTAAAGTCAACATGAATTGTGTAAACAACTTTTACCTATAATAGAATTCTTCTTTTGTCATACTGTCTTGTTGTTTTGTTTTTTTTTCGTCTTTAGAATTAATGAAGGTTCAAGATGAAATTGTAACATTACGTCAAGTACTTAGTGCTAAATTAAAACGTGAAAATGAATTAAAAACATTATTAGGTATTGGTATTGTTGATGATATAAAACAAGATTGGAATGAAACAGTTCATGATATAAAATCAAGTGTAGCATATCAAAAAACAGCTGAAACATTAAATGCTGCATCAGAAAAAATTGCACCAACATTACAAACAGTTAATTCAACACTTAAATCTGGTATTGGTACTCTTCGAAGTATGTTTATTTATTTATTTGTTTATTTTAAATATAAATTTCTTTTATTTTCTAGATTCAACTTATTTTAAAACATTTGAAAGTACACTTGGTTCAACTGTTAATGCAGTTAAATCAAAAATAACACCATCAAAATCAGCTATGAGTTTTGATGATGATAATGAACATCTTCATCAAGGTGCTAGTGGAAGTTCTATGAATAGTAGTGCAACACATGGTGATCATCTTGATTTTGGTGGTAGTAGTTCAGATGGAAAGAAATAATATTGAATAACGAATTATTGTTACTGATTATTATTTAAATAAATACAAAAAGACAAAAGAAAAAACACCTTTTTTTTTCCAATTTATTCTCTTGAAATTTTATCATTGATTCATATTCGTTTTGCTTGTTTTCCTTCGTGGGATAAAAGCTAAATTTTGTTCTTTATCTATATATTTACTCATTTTGTTTGAATTTCTTTTTTTTTTGTTTCTTCTTCTCATAATATTATTCATATTATTGATCTATAGCTTTTTTCATCAAAGTTAAATTTTTCAAAGAAGTACATACATCAAACAGAAAAAAAACAACAACAACATTTCAATTCAATAGATCTTTTACTTTTCATTTTGCTCAGTTTCTTCTTATGTCGATATTTATTATAAGATCATTTTATTATATTCATTTTCTTGATGTTGTCACGCATTTCTTTTGTCTTATTTTCTGAAAAAAAAAATATATTCACATGGAAAAAATTTATTTATCAATGTTTTTGTTCTTTTTTTTCTCGATAATGTGATTCTATATCATTATTCTAGATATCGCTCGTCAAATCTAATGAGTATATAATTGCTCATAACAAAGAAAGAATACATTAGCGTTTTAATATAATGTACTGCTTAGTGATAGATTCATTAATCCGATATCTTTCGTACAACTAATACTAGTTATATTTCTAGATGGATAAACAGTCTGACGCTGAGTTCTTGTACTCAATAGCTGGACCTCCTCAGACAAACAGCTGTTTATGAATGTCATAGTCTTCTTCAGGAAAATTGAATTTCGACTTAAAATTTAGCATAGAGATAGTCGCGAATAAAAGTTGTCAGACGAAATCAGAGCGATACACTTGATAGAAAGAATCAGAAGTGTTCTAAGATTGTCAGTAGAGATGAAACCGGCACCGGTACATCTTTTAGACCGGTCGGTAACCGGTAAACCGACCTGTCTAACCTTTTCAGACCACTATCAGTTCTAATCGTCAAAAATTCAGACTAATTCCATATCAGGTACGTGATACAACTTGGCAAATAAAGTTTGTCACGCGATAAACCATGTTCTCCATATATGAACCACTTTTTTTTTTCTGACTGTTAATTATCGATGTATCATGCGTTACCGGTAGACCGGCCGGTCCGGTATGACTTTCTCAGATCGGTTCCATCGCTGGGTGTCAGCATTGAGGAAAGAGTCGGAAATATGTTTATTAAAATTTAGTGATGAAAATAATCAAATGCTGAAACTATTATTAAAGAAAAAATTTCAAGTTTGAGACAAGCCCTAGAAAGAATTTACATATCGTAATCAAGATTAGTCAAAATTGACATTGAAATAAAAATTAATGATTTTTTTTTTGTTTTTTTATTCTCGTCATTTTAATTCTTCTAGATATTTTTATAATATATAAAAATGAATGAAATAAGAAGATTAACAGGTATTTATCATGAAGTACAAGAAGGTTCTCTTTGTGCTCAACATGCATTAAATAATTTATTACAACGTGAATATTTTTCAGCTGTTTCATTAGCTGATATTGCTCGGTAAAAATATATATATATATAGATTTTTATTTTTAAATAAATTAATTCTTTAGAGAACTTGATGAACAAGAAAGACATGTATTAGGACATCGACATGGTGAATCAGAAAATATGGATGGTTTGTTTTGTTTTTGTTTTATTTAATTTTATTTTAATCTATGTTTATTTTCTAGACACGGGTTTTTTTAGTATTCAAGTATTACAAAAAGCATTAGAAGTATTTGAAATTGAATTAATACCATATGCTAGTCAACATCCTATAGCTCAACAAGCACGTGCAGATCCTCAATCAATTCAAGCATATATATGTAATTTACGTGAACATTGGTTAACTATACGACGATTTGGTACACAATATTTTGATTTAAATTCAATATCAATTGTACCGAAATTAATATCAAATACATATCTATCATTATATTTAGTACAATTACAACAAAGTGGTTATTCAATATTTATTATTCATGGAAATTTACCACCATGTTTAGCTGATAATAAACTATTAAATAATACAATTGATCCTGTTTATTATCGTTCATTAACTGCTCGTATTGATAATGATAATAAAAATAATAAAAAAAATACAACAACTTCATTAGAATCAACATCATCATCATCATTTGATGAAACAGAAATTCAACGTGCTATTAAAGCAAGTGTAGAATTAGATAATTCACAAGATAAAGCTTTACAAGATGTTCTTGTTCAATCATTACGTGATGTTCACGGTATTGATGATTCTATGCTTATTAATCATCATGAAAATGCTGATGTACTTAATCAAAAATTACTTGAACAAGCTATTGCTGCTAGTTTAGTTAATGATACACCAATAACAGAAAAAGATAATACAACTACTGAACCAGTACCACCACCACCACCAACAACAACAACAGAAACAACAACGGAACCAAATTTAGAAGGTAAGATAATTTCTTTGAAAAACAAAGTTGTTAATCTTACAATAGTATTCTTCTTATTTAAAACCGTAGTATCTTCTGAAATTTTTGGTTTTTATAATATTTGACACTTTTTTGATACAGCTTCTGAGAGCAAAAACGATATTTTATTGTCGAATTGATCAATTATTACCTAAAAATGGCCAATTTTTCATTCCTGGATGATACAAAAGTGTATAGATTTTGCAATAAATAGTTTTTAAGTATAAAATGTACTATTCATCATGCTCTATTGTTTGACATATCTATAGATCTTTCGAAAATGCCAAAAAAAAAAAAAGTTTCACTTTCAGATTCATGAAGGAATTGCAAAGATTGTTTTTCATTTTTTGTTCCTTATATCTTTCGATTCACAGTAATTAGATTTGAACAATGTATGAATCTCTATTGTTCGATTTATTATTAAAATAGAAATTTTTACATATCTCAGCATTTCCTTTAGAAGTCTAAAAACGAAACACTTTTTTGCCATGCTTTATGTATGTCCAATGATATGACATAATGAATACAAAACTTTGCAATTGAAAAGTGTATATATTTTACAGATGATCTTCTTTATTCTCACAAGCAGTATCAAAAATTACAGAAATTAGCCAAATCACTAGCATTTGAGAACTTTCATTCGTGAGACAAACTTTATAATATGAAACTTGAATATTGTTGACATAAATTTACAAATATGAATTATACGATAAGTTAATTTCAAAAAAGAAAAACGAACATAATATGATATTATAAACAAAATCTCATTTCTCTTTTAATTTTAGAACTACGGCAACGGCGTCTACAATTCTTCAATAATAAAGAGAAATCAACAACAGATACAAAACCCTTAGAATCAAATAAATAAATTTTTTCTCTTTTATATTTGAAATCAACATTGTTCTTTATATATATATATATGTTTATTAATTGTTCATTATATTTTAAATGATTCTCTTTTCATTTTTATTCTAGATTAATATCACCTCATATTCTGATATATAAGTAAAGATTTACTTGTAAGACATCATTTGATCACATGAGTAAGATCTAATGAAAAACTCAATTTCGAGATTCTCATCTAATATTTGACCCATTGATAAATCTCGTCGCTACTAGATTATTCTAAAACTTTCAGTTAGATAATCGATATCTCAAGAAAAATACATTCCTTTAAGCTGAAATTTTAAGAAGAATCTAGTAGTGATGAGACTTATCTATGGAATAAATTTCAGATGAAACTTTCGTAATTGAGTTTTCTAACCCAACGCACTAAAGTGAGCATAATTGTGATTAAGTAATGCATGGATTTGAATTAATTTAGTATTTTCTTAGTTTCAATATGTTCTACTGATGTGATTGACAGTATCCGACAGATTAGTTGCTTTTTTTTTATTGATCGTCCCTTTTTCAGACATATTTATATAATTAGAAAATTTCAACTTATTAAAACTAGTTTAATAATTAAATTTTATTACCGACGGATTTTTAGATTTTAACTTTTGAATGAGTTTGAGGAATAAATAAATAAATACAAGAAAATCATGTCAATTAAAGATGAACAATTACAAGAAATTGAAGCACTTACTTCAATCTATCCTGATGAAATTACAGGTATATTTTTCTTTTTTTTTACACTCAATTTATTCATCTTTTTGCATAATTTTCTATCTTAAAATTAGTACAGTACTATCAGAGGATCCTTATCCAAAATTCAAACTCATGATAAAACCAACAACAAATGATGAAGATGATCTTAGACGTATGTTAATAATCTTTTCAATTCTCTTATATTAGGTTTTATTTTTTTTGCTTTTATAGCTTTTCTTCTATTGGAAGTAAAATTTCATGCTAATTATCCTGAACAATCACCTGAAATAACAATTATTGATTCAGCTAATGTTGAAGATACATCATCATTTGAAAGTGAAATAAATAAAATTGTATGTATAAATTCTTTTCAATCAAAGATATGCATCATATTGACATATCTCTGCTATAAATGAAATTTAAATATGTTTCATGTTTTAGTGTGAAGAAAATTTAGGTATGCCAGTTATATTTACATTGGCTAGTCATCTTTCAGAACAATTGAGTATACAATCAGAAAATCGTCATATACGTCATAGAGAAAATCTTGAACGAAAACAACGTGAAGAAGAAGAAGCTGAACAAAAACGATTTGAAGGTACATGTGTTACTGTTGAATCATTTATTAAATGGAAAGTTAAATTTGATGCTGAACGTGCTGAATTAATGAAAACAATTAAAATTGATGAAAATGAACCAAAAAAATTAACAGGTCGACAATTATTTGAAAAAGATCGTTCACTCTATGATTCAGATATTAAATTTGTATCGGGTGAAGGTATGTATTTTTTATTATTTATTTATTCATTAAATAATTCATTTATTGTTAATAGGTGGTGAATTAGTTGAAGTTGATGAATCATTATTTGAAGATATGCTCGATTTAGAATTAGATGATACAACTACAACTGGTATTGATTTGTCGGATGTTGATCAATAATCATACAAAACATTCGTTTTGTTGTGTTTTTGTTTTTGTTTTTTTATAAAGGTTGATCGATTATTTGAGATTCAAAAAACAAAAAAACAGAAAATTTTTTAAAAGAAAAGAATGAACTGTGATTAAAAGGACATTTATGAATAGAAAATTTGATTTATACAACTGAATTTAATTATCTCTAATGATAAATTTCAACATATTGTCCAAACAATATGCTAGCAAGCATATAATAACACTCTATAATTAAATAATTGTACATAAGGCAATTAAATATCGACAATCTATAGCAATGTCCTTGTCGCTCTGACTACATTCGAACATCAGTCTGGTCAATGAGTTGTTACTTTAGCCATCATGGATGTCTTATGATTTACAAGGCGACCGTCGTGGTTTTATTGTTCTCATCAATCATGGAATGACTCTGAACTGGCCAGTAACGTCTGCAAGCTTTGGATCATCCGTCCGATAGCATGGTGACTACGTTGTGACATACATTTGTTCTCGTGGCTCGTATATGTGTGAGTGATTGCCTTTTGTATATCCTCATAGGCATCATTCGTATTCATTCACTTTCGGTGCCGCTTTAGGATACTTTAAGACTAGTATGCTATATGACGAAATTGTCCTAGCATCGTTAGTCAATGTGTATAAACAGCTCAAGCCATTGAACGCAAACAATTCTGCACCATGCTAGTTTTTTGTACAGAATTTTAGCTAGTGTAAGTTTTAAGGATAAAACTCGAACTGTTGTTATTTTTGCAGACAATTTACTTTTATTTAAATTATCAAATATGAAAATCATTTTCGATTGCGACATCTCTAATCAATTGATAGACGAAAAAATTTTGATTTCTTTACCTTTGTATCAAATCAAATCCTTAATGCAATAGATCCTTTCCAAAAAGAAAACGAAAAAAAAAACAACATGAATAACGAAGGAAAAAAACCATACCATGTTCGACAAAATTACACAGAAAGAAAATACGTATCTATTTTAATACTCGTTTGTTAATATGCTGAACAAATATATGTACGTAAGATATTGGAATTACTGATAGATAATTATAAACTATCTACACAGCAAACTCAACAGTTTCTCAGGTAGAAAATTTCTAATTTCGAAAAAAGATATTCATCAAGGTCACACAATAACATTCGAATCAAAGTAGTCTGAAGAAAATTTTGATAATATGAAAAAAAATAAAACGTAGTTCGATTATGTCTATGTAACATGTTATTTCTTGCTTCACGATTTCCCTTTACTTTAGGGTAAATAAAATAATAACATTTTTGTCTTATCGACCAAAAGAAGCAGTAAAAAAAAGCCATGCTGAATAAATAATGACGCCATTTTTTCCAACATATTGAAAGCAACTCTTTTTTTTTTTTTATTATTCTTTTACTTTTTATAAGTGTGTATTTGATCCTATTTGTTATAGGTGTAGTTATTGTCCAATGTGTTTTAAGCAACTTCGATCCGTTTACAGAGTATCAACATGAACTAATGAAGGAGTTTCTTCGAAAAATTATTTCATGATGATGCGATTTGATTTTGACTGAATTCATCTACAGTGAAATACAGACAGTCCGAACAAGTTTTTCGTGTGATTTCACCATCGATGAAATATAATCAAATATTTTCTTTGTAAATGATATATGAATGCATTGGGTTCTTTTTTATTGATACGAACAAATTTTGAAGGTACTGTAGAAAGTTAATTTTAATCAGAATATAACAATTTAACATTGTTTTTTTTTTCTATTGTGAGAAATATTTATGGACAGGTTTTTATTTTGATTGTTTGAATTTCTGGAACTAATTAGTTCAGTTATAAACTTGTTTTCTTATCTGTCATTTAAAAAAAGATAGTTATTAGTTTCTTTAATTAGGAGAGTCTAATAAAAATATAAGAAAACGTATATTAAAGAAATTGTAGCTATAATGAATGACAGATGGCTGATGGAATTATTGTTAGTGAATAAAGGAAAGAACAGTAACTACCTCCCCCATAGAAGATACGGCGAGAGTCGGACAATCACTTGCTGAGACTAGAGTTCGACGGTTCCAAAAAAAAATGAAATCGACTTTTTAAAATTTCTTGGAACCCGAGCTGCACCTGTTGAAAAAACTGTTGAATTATCAAAGAGATACTGAAAATCTTGAATCTATCTTAAGAAATCTTCATTTTTCCATTCTTGAGCTTAAAGCTTTCTGTATATATGTATAATACTACTTTGTTTAAGTATTGAAATATGCAGCATCTTTAATCTCATCAATTCAATAGCGGAAATTTCTGAAAATATATTTAAAATTCTCGTATCTATCTGATGTGTGAAAGAATTATATGAACTGTGAATTTTCTCTTCATCCGCATCTACAGTCTTGTAAGAAAGTGTCCTAAATCTGTTAGGTTAGACTCTAATATACTTCTTTTCATCTTATTCATATCTACATATATCTTATTAGTTTTCAACTCTTTAGATAAAATTAAAAAAAAATAAATACCAAGAAAATACACATGGCAAGCTCAGTAAGTCTATAGTTCAAATATTTTTATGAACTTTTCTTGCTTCATCATAATTGAATTCTTATTTTCAAGGATGCTAGCATTTTCTGTTCGTTCTGTAACGATGAATTTTCGTCATCAAAAGCTATAGCAGATCATTTGATGATGTGTGGTAATAAAACAGATAAATGTCCAAACTGTAAACAATACGTTCGACGGGCTATATTTGCGTATCATTACGAAAATAATTGTGATAATCCAGATGCACCAACAACAAATAATGAAACTAATCAGAATACGCAGCATTCTAGTAAGTTCTATGGCTTTGTACTATTAATATCTGATTGTCTTGTAAAAGAAATACCAGTGACTGTCAAATGTCAATTATGTGGCGAAAACTACGATCGAAAAGACGGTAAAATACATAAAGTAAAAAAGTGAAAACTTGATTGTTTCTGTCCAAGAAGTTTAGTTTTGTTGATCTAATCGTTTGCAGGAAAAGTGCTCCCGTTATCAATTAAGTCTTGTTGAAAATCAACAACTTTCCATCGAAGATAACTCCAATCGAACTACAGGTATATATAAATCATATTGATTTGCAGTCCTGATTTTTCTGGAATTCGCATAATACAATATGTGCACAGAAAATTCAGGGTTGAAAAGTTGTACAACTTCTTTAAACATAGAACAGAATTCATACTTTTAGCTCAATCAAACCAAGTCAACGAGTCGGATGGTAGTGCACTTATTCCTTGCGAGTATTGCAATCAAGGAATTTCATGGGGTGTTTATGACAATCATACGGTAAGTTTAAGAATTAAAATTCATGTC